GACCAGACCCTCCATCTCCGCCAGCCCCACCAGGGTGATTGCCCCGGGGCGAGTCGTCACCATCCGCTGTCAGTGTCAATGCAAAGGCAGGAGGTTATTTCTGTATAAAGATGGAATCAAAATCCGGGAGCTGGACGCTGCTGGGGACGGGGGTGAATTCACCATCCCCAGCGCCAGGCGGGAAGACGGAGGGATCTACAGCTGTCGATCTCGCTCCAGATCGGAGCCGCCCGACTGGTCGGATCGCAATGACATTGTGCAGATCTTTGTAGCAGGTGAGGGGCCTGGCTCAGTGTCCCCGCTCCCAGCCCCACACCCAGCCAGACCGTCATGGGGGTCTCTGGGCAGATGGGACACTCCTTGGGGTGTCACATGACCTATGAAGGAAGGCTGAAAGAATTGGGTTTGTTTAGTTTGGAAAAGAGAAGAGGGGACATGATAGCAGTTTTCAGGTATCTAAAAGGGTGTCATAAGGAGGAGGGAGAAAACTTGTTCATCTTAGCCTCTAAGGATAGAACAAGAAGCAATGGGCTTAAACTGCAGCAAGGGAGGTTTAGGTTGGACATTGGGAAAAAGTTCCTAACTGTCAGGGTGGTTAAACACTGGAATAAATTGCCGAGGGAGGTTGTGGAATCTCCGTCTCTGGAGATATTTAAGAGTAGGTTAGATAAATGTCTATCAGGGATGGTCTAGACAGGATTTGGTCCTGCCATGAGGGCAGGGGACTGGATTCGATGACTTCTCGAGGTCCCTTCCAGTCCTAGAATCTATGAATCATATGAATCTATGAGTAACTTAACCTGCCTGTGCCTCCATTTCCCCTTGTGTGAATGGGGGATTATCATCCCTCCTGTACCTTGTGTCTGGTTAGATCGTCAGGACTTGGCTTTAGGGCGGGGGCCTTTTCTCCCTGTGTCTGTGCAGCACCCAGCACTTCTGACTCCCACCCTCCTCCTGATCTAACCACTAGATCCCACTCCCCTCCCAGAGCCAGGGATAGAACTCAGGAGTCCTAGATCCCAGGCTGTGGGGACCCATTAAATACATAGAGGGGTACAGAGGGGTGCTCTGGATTTTAGGCAGTTCCGGGCGTAGCTCCCAGGAATCTCTGGGATCTGGGAGAGGTTCCTCTGGCTGGGTTTTCTCCCAGGGGCCCCGTCTCTGGGACTGTGCGGCGAGGACGGGGTGCAGTGACTCTGCCGGGGTCTGTCTCACAGCCTGTCTCCTTCTCACTGCAGAGCTCATCTTCCGCAAACCCTCCATCTCCCTGCGCCCCAGCGGGGGGGTCG